TAAGTGTTTTAGTGCCTACTCTAAAAAAAAGGTAACATAGGTTATGCTCACCAGTGGTCCATGGTAATTTAACTATGCTGATTATGTTAGATGGAATGGAGAATCCTTACGTGAAAGCATCAAGCGTCATGAGCATTTTCTTGCCCTGCAGCTTGGCTTGAAACCAGGAATGAAGGTCAGTTCTCCTATTGAAATCTGTCTGTGAATTGTTTTTTCTGCTCTTGCATGACTAGAGGATGTGTGCTTTCCTTTTTTTTAACTGTAGGTTTTGGATGTGGGCTGCGGAATAGGTGGACCGCTGAGAGAAATTGCAAGATTTAGGTCAGATTCTCAAGTTAAAGTTCTTTGATGCTGGTGAATGTGATGTCCTTGGCTATAGCCTTTTAACAAACTGACCAATGCATTAGAATTGATTAATCTTTATCAGTTAAAATTTGGCACTTGGCACTTGTGGTCGATTTGCTTTGGAGGGATGGCACCTTCACTCTTTGTTTATTTAGAGCACTGCCTTCTTTCGTTTCAGTATTTGATCCATTTTCTGTTAAAGCCCCATGGCTAACTGAATCATGCAAATGGTTTTCATGCAGCTCAACTTCAGTTACTGGATTGAATAACAATGAATACCAGATGACCAGGGGAAAGGTTCTTTGAAACCACATTTTTAAACTACCACCTTTCATTGATGCACTAGTTATCATGTTGCTCTTATGCTAACACAACACTTTGATGTTCAGGAGCTCAATCGGTTGGCAGGAGTTAGTGGAACCTGCGATTTTGTCAAGGTATAGTTGGCCTATCGACTAGGCCACATTGCTTTCTTGGTTTAGCTCTTGTATGTGCTTGCTACTCTTGTATGTATCCTTTTTGCAATTGCTTTGCTGTTGAAAATAATAAAGTAATTAATGACCTTTTTCTGCAAAATTGCAAATCTTATTATGCTAACAGTTCTATGCATTTGCATGGCTGTATAAAGAAGTTGCAAGGTTGATGCTTTTAGATGGAGCTTAGAATACTGTCCACATTTTTCCATGTTCTTCTATATAAGTTAAGATGCTGTTCTTTTTTAACAGAAGGTTGCCTGTTGGTGGAGTTATTTGAATTACCGTTAAGCTAAAGGACAATGCTCATATTTCTCTAATGCAGGCAGACTTCATGAAGATGCCATTTGATGATAACACCTTTGATGCTGTTTATGCAATTGAGGCGACATGTCATGCACCTGATCCAGTAATAAGATTTAAATTGCTAATAAAATTGTCATTTCTGTAGTAAGATTTTTCATCAATCTTGATATCTTTTTCTAATGGAAAACTAAATTAGTATTTTTGTTGCAAAGGTTGGCTGCTATAAGGAGATATACCGTGTGTTGAAGCCTGGCCAGTGCTTCGCTTTATATGAGTGGTGCATTACTGGTCACTATGATCCAAACAACGCAACCCATAAAAGGATTAAGGATGAAATTGAGCTTGGCAATGGCCTGCCAGATATCAGAAGCACTAGGCAATGTCTTCAGGCAGTCAAAGATGCCGGTTTTGAGGTAAGATAGACTATGTTTCCCCTTTTTATGATCATGTTCTTTACATTTCACATAGGGGTAAATACACCATTGACAAAGCAATATACTACTGTTCTTTTTTTTTTTTTCAGATTGATATAGTGTAGTTTTATAGCTTACCTGTGTACTCCCTCTGTCCTGTAATATAATGCATTCTAAAAATTTTAAGACAGATTAAGAGAGAACACAAAAGACGCATGTGCCCTCACTTTATTTCCTAATAAGACGCTATCATCGACACGATTTGTGGTGATTGGCTGATAAATGGAAAGTATTTAATGCAAAATGGGTTTCTGCCTTCTAGAATGCATTATATTTGAGGACAAATTTTGAATGCTAGAATACGCTATATTACAGGACGGAGGGAGTAGGTGTGTAAGTCGTTTTTTTCATGCAGGTTGTTTGCGATAAGGATCTAGCTGAGGATTCCCCCTTGCCCTGGTACTTGCCCTTGGATCCGAGCCGATTTTCCTTGAGTAGCTTCCGTTTGACATCTGTGGGACGCATGATTACTCGCACTATGGTGAGGCCAATAAATAGTTTATTTCATTTTTGGATACTTCATTTGTTAATTGTGCTATCTGATTTGTTCTGAACGATCAAATAAGTTATCGTTCTCTATGTTTGGATGACAACTGACATTTAGGGGATAGTGAAAGATTTGTTGAATGGGCATTTGAGTCTCTTGTTGATATTTTTCAGGTCAAGGCATTGGAATACATTGGTCTTGCCCCACAAGGCAGTGAGAGGGTCTCCAATTTCCTAGAGAAGGCTGCAGAAGGTCTTGTAGAGGGTGGGAAGTAAGTCTGTTTTTTCTGAACCAGAAAGCAGAATCGCCAGCACTATCCTCTACATTTTCATTGTATCTTTCCAATTGTTTACTTACTGTTGTATAAATAACTACAGGAAGGAGATCTTCACGCCAATGTACTTCTTTCTTGCTCGGAAGCCTCTTTCAGAATAAGTTCTTGGAGAACGTTTCAGGTAACAGATGATTTTGTAAGATTTCGAAATCCTTGTTTTTCTAGTTCTGTGGTCAGTCTCTCAGTTACATTCTTGTGGATTTTCTGACAGAGCAAGAAGGCATTTTGAAGATTGAAGAAGCCAGGGGTAGGGTGGGTGTGGGGCTGCAATCAAGAAAATCCTGTTCTTCTCTGTAGGAAGAAAATTAGGGAAAAGTGCTGACTGTTAAGCTTTTCGATTGTTCAGTTGTTTTGTTGTGTGACGTTCTGGTCCAGCGTTCGGTCCTAGAGGGGTTGACTGTGCTGTTCTTGGACTGACAATCAAATCGAATTCCTCTGTTTACCAGCGCGGCCCAGCCCCTCTCCGCCGTGGGTACAGGCCGCTCACAGTCAGGAAAGCTGCTTTGGTGGGCCAGCGTACGATGCTTTGTGGGCCTAATTCTTTCCTCCCCTGTTAGTTGGCTATAAGCTACTAGTTCATTATTCTTTTCTTCATGTTCTCATGTATGCCCCACTTTTTTCCATCCATATTTTATGGTTTATTTTCAATTGCGTAATGGTTTTATGGTGATACTCTTAAATTATTCTATTCTGAATATTCATTTGTTTTGTAATATCATCTTTTTTATTTTGGTCCTAGAGCATAATTAGCTGGCATATTCACCGATTCCGGTTCTTTTTTTTTCGCGAACGTGCCCTTGTGACATGTGTTTTATTAAGTAGAAGTAGAATTACGGTTAGTTACATCTACATCAATCCTACGTAATCCATTGATTACCAAAAGACAGACAAACTAACAGGCACACAAACACAGATAGAGTTCTCAGATGGCTAATTTACAGAATTGTTTTGCGACGTTGCCAAGAGCAGTGGCAGCAAGCTAGTAAGGTGACGGAAGCCCGCTCTGACCCAAAGGTTGGCTTCGTCGATGATGGAGCCGAAGAGCACAGCTGGATGCCTCGCCGCTGCGTCGAACGTCCTGGAGTTTCTTTCCTTCCACAGTTCCCAGCCAACGAGCAATACCATGGAGTCGAATCCTCTCGCCTAGCCGTTTTGGCGACCCTTTTCCTCGACGTCGTCCACCAAACCTAGAAAGACGCCATGTCCAGCAGCAAGAGATCATCAAGCCCAGGGAGTCTGAGGGCCAAACTCCAGACTTCGACACTGTAAGGACAAGCAGGCAGAAGGTGGTCTATTTCTTCAGTCCCCACACCACAGAGGACACAAAGTCGGTGCCGTCTCCGGTTCTCCGTCATCTACATGTAAAGTGTTTACCGTAATGTTGCATGAGCAATGTTCTTAGTCTAACGGATTATTCGTGATATGAACTAAGGCTATTTATGATTGCCTGTTCAACTGGTATTAAAGTCGGCTGATAAGCCGGCTGAAGCTGTTTTGTTGTAAGAGAAAAATACTGTAGATTATAGCTGATAAGCCGGCTGATAAGTTCAAGCGAAGAGGCCTCTAGTGCCCGTTACAACCTAGGGTCTTCGTTGGGTTTCGACCACCCTCGTTTAGTACTCCCTACATTTCAAATTATAAGACGTTTTGAATTTTCTAGATTCATAGCTTTTGCTACGCACCTAAATATATGTTATGTCTAGATACATAATAAAAGCTACGAATCTAGAAATGTCAAAACGTCTTATAATTTGGGACAGAGGAAGTAGGACTTTTCTCTAGCTCTGACTCCTCCGAAGAAGCCATACCAAATGGTTTACTATGAGAAGCTATTTGGAGTCCTCTGTAAAAAGAGGAATTAGAGTTGTTTTGGAGAAGCCACCGGCTCCGGTTCCTTCGAAGAAGCCCTTGGGATAAGCTCTCCCAAACAAGGCCTTAATGTTTGCTAGGCAAAACCCATCATTCTTAGGATCACTCTATAAAACCGCCGAATTCTTGTGAACCTTAACACTGAACCCTAGCCCCCCATTCTATAGGCCTAACTTCAGAGCTCCAGGTGTTTGAAATGATACATGTTTGTCTTATAGTTGTTTTTTTTTTGAGACTATGAAAACAATGAATAATAATGTTGCTATAAATCCTAGAATAAATCTAAAAAAAATACGAGCACCTGACATAATGCGGGTGGATAAGTTACACCAATCACTGCAAGTAATCTAAGGCCAGTCTCAGTGAAAGCTTTATGCGAGTTTCATTTGTATTAAATAGGTTGCCACAGAGACATTTCTGATGACATGTCAGTGTATTTAAGAAGAGAGAGAAGAAATGAATTTGGTACGATTACCAACTATCTATGAGCCATGAAATTAAATGCTCATAAAACTATGTAATGAAACTTTGTATTAAGACTGAGTGTTTCATCAAATTTTCATTTCATTCTATATTACATGCAAATAACGTCACGAAATAACCCACTGAGACTGGCCTAATTAACCATAAAAGCATGCACGTCACAAATAGGGATAACATCATAATAGATACGCTATAATAATACATTACACCATCTTCTGTTTCGTTTCAGATCATTGAACCATCTTTGCAGCAGCAGCAGGAGAAACTGAAGCCGTAGAGTCGATGTCTTTGGTGAACCACGGCCTGCGGAGTGCGGCCGACGCCGACGGCCTCTTGTCGGCGTTGCAGGAGAGAAGCTGCTTCAGGACGTCGAATCCATCCGCGGACAGCCGCTCCTTGGGCCACGTCCTCTGCCCCGGCACGCCGAGCACGCTGAATATCCGGCGGAGCACCTCGCTGTCGTCCTCCCCGTAGAAGAGCGGCTTCCCGGTGAGGAGCTCCGCCATGACGCAGCCAAGCGACCACATGTCCACCATGGCGTCGTAGTCGGGCTTCCCCAGGAGCATCTCCGGCGCCATGTACCGCCGCGTGCCGTCCCGCTCGTACGGCGGCTGGTCGGTGATCGAGACGGCGAGCCCGAGGTCGCATATCTTAACGGAGACGGCCTCGCGTCCATCGCCGCCGGCGCCGACAACAAGGATGTTCCCGGGCTTAAAATATGCCAATGTTAATATTTTTCTAAACCAAATCTTTGGGATTTGGGTACCACTGTAGACACCACAAGGTTGGTTTGAGCTCTCACTCTGGTCCGAGTACAACGCTGGAAAACAATCAGAATCTGATCTACCGAGCGGTTTGTGGCGTACATATTAATTGTACACATTTTTCTTGATGAATCAATCCATGACTCATGAGTCTGTTTGTTATGGAAACGTGGCTGATGATTTGTGATCAATGACTTGCCGTCACGAACTCACGATCCTTCCATTTGGAAAAAGAATATTGTTCTAGCGTAGGATCGGCTCAAATCAAGTCTTGAGTTTGATCAGATTTGGTTATAAAAACGTATCAGTATTTATAATATCAAAAAATTAGAACCATGGTCATAGAATACAATTTTATAGGGAATTTTATAATATCACTTATTTGATTTGTTAACATAAATACCAATTCGTGGAAGCTTAAAGATCGCATTAGCCAAAATTAATTAATCAAAATAGACACCTTTGATATGTGTGTGGCACAAATAAACTATTCATGTGCCAAATAACACAACCTCACCATGCACCATGTTTACTTCTTGCATCTTAAAAATATTTCTCTTCCCACTTCCTTCTTACCTTTTTAATTCTCTCGATGATAAAAGAACTAGTCTACTTTCATGTGTATTAGGCCCTGTTTGGTCCATGAGTCTAAACTTTAGCCCGTCTCTTTTAGTCACATTTTAGACCTCATGGATCCAAATAAGAGGGTTAAAAGTGGGGGGCTAAACTTTAGCCCACTCATTTTTCATTAACCCCTCCAAGGTGGGCTAAAGAGGGCTAAAAATGATCCCTTCATGGCAAAAGACACATATTACCCCCACCCATCCTTATTAGTCCTATGCATGAGTATTAATTAGGGGCAAATGAGTCATTATAGGGTATATGTCTAATCTTTAGCCCCTGGATCCAAACAACCCCATGGGCTAAACTTTAGCCCCTTCATTCTAAGGGCTAATCTTTAGCCATGGGTTAAACTTTAGGGGTTAAAGTTTAGCCGCATGGATCTAAACAGGGCCTTATATACACATGCTAGCCCATGTTTAAACGTGAGAGTTATGCACGACATTTCAAGCACTATTCATGCCTTTTGCAGTCACTTATTATGCATAAGTTACTTGGTTTAGCACTCACCTTAATTGCCACTCCAAAGTGAATAGCCATAAACACATGCGTGCTTTTGCTTAATTACCACTCAACTCAAAGTTAAATAGTTATGGTTAGCACCGTGCACATGCATGCCCCTTTTATGAGTAAATGATACAAATAGCACCATGATAATTCTCTTGAAAGGGAGAGGAAAGAGTATTTCAACCCATAATTCTTACTCTTTAAGTCTAGCAACCATCACACTAAGATATTTAATAATAAGAATTGTTACTGTTATTTACATGGGCCATATTTTAGTTAAAGTAATTTAGCATTGGCATCATAAATATACTCTTTTATAAATCTGATTAAATTTTAAAATAGTTTGTTTTTTTATTAAAGATGGAACTAGAATTTTATCTTTTTCGGACGGAGGCAGTAGTACAAAGTACACGGACAGAAAAAAGGGAACTCCAAGTTTTTTTTAGGGAAAAAGGGAACTCCAAGTTCAACAACCGGAAGGGAAAACAAAAACGAGAAACAAATCAAATCAGGTAGCTAGCCTATGTGTGCCACAACATGCTCACCCCTACGGGCTAGTACGTCCATGCTAGACGCACAATCCTGGGCTCCCGGCAACCTACGACAGGTTTCCGGCCATGACAAACCTTTGTCAGTTGTCACACAAGCAGTCCGGCACGTCCGACGTCCTCAGGCACGCAGTGACTCCTCGTTATTAGCAATGCTGCAGCTGCTAGTCCAAGTATAGTAAGCCTTGGCTTGCAGCTCACAGTCACAGGAGCGTTGCTTGCAAATACGCTCAGGAGTGAGATCAAACAAAACGGCTGCAGATTCACGATCACCATCCTGATGAACACGAACACTAGGCACCGGCTCGAGCTGCTCAGCCATTCCAACTCTCACCGATCGAGCTAGAAGAGCCAGCTATTTCTGTCCGGGCAGACGAACTGTGTCACAGCCAAGCTGAAGCTCTACCAAAAAGATCTAAATCTGATCATGGGCTATCCGACCTAACTAATCCAATCCGATCCGCCCGAAAAACAACCCGATTCTGCCAATTCATTGCATCGCGTAATCCGACAACAAAGATTTGGCAACGACGACGACGAACCGCACATTGCCGTCGGGGAGGTGAAAGCATTGGCTTGCTGCCACAGCTGCTACTCGGTGAACTGCATGGGCTGGGAGCTCTTTTTGTTGAACTGATTCTGAGTTAAGGTAATAACCAGCATCATTTGTGCTGTTTCTGACACGGATATCTAGGGCTACAACTGCAATATTTACTTCAATTTTTGAATCAAGAAACTAACGATGCCGCTATATAAATATACTAATAACGAATCGCCTGCCTCAAAATAAGCGGCCGCTTAGCTTCCTTCCACCCTAGCGCTCCTCTGATGTGAACTTGTTCCAAGCATCCTGCAAAATAGGTGGCAGCAGGTGAGCAAAGTTTCTCTCCTTTGTTCCCGCTTCATTTACTGATATGATTGAATCATCACATGACACAGGTAAGAGCGAGAAGCAGGAAAAGCCGTGCGTCCAGAAATGAAGTTTTTGCAGCAGCATTTCACCAATAAAAAAAAAGTTGGTTTGCAGGCAATGCAAAGTCTTCGAACAGACAGAGTTCCGGCAGGGCAAAGATGTGCATCAAGGGTCTGATAATAACTTGCAAAAGTTCTTTGCGATTGCCTTCGCAAATGTGCGTGCATTTTCCAGACTGGTGTGGTTAACAGGGGCACAAGGCGCGCCAGCTTATGCATAAAAGGTTGAGAGAAAAAGGAATGACTCATGCAAAAGTGCAGGAAATTATCTAGGACGTTCCCAGAATTGTCGCGAAATCAGAAACCGAAGTTCTAAGAAACAAAGTACTCCTTGCAAGAGAGAAAAGGAGACTCTGGAAATGCAACCAGAAACAGAAAGGGTTGCTCCAATGGAGTTCCAAATGGACCAGAGCATTCCATATGGACAAAGCACATACCTTAAGAAGATCGAAAACCTTCTCGCAGATGTATTTCTGTCTGATTGTAGCACCCCTTTGCTGCAATTTATCTGGATGGACACAAAGGGTTGCCTTCCTGTAAGCTTTCTTCACAGCAACAGCTGTAATGAGATCTGTTAGTGGCACCGGTTGCCAGCCACTATCGGCACCAAGAATCTGCCAGGGAAAACAGAGCAACACATGATAACCTTTTCCATGTTCTATGTTACGGATTTAAAGATGCATGAAATTTAACTGCTTACGTATTGCAATGTGGACAGCAAGGCCCTCAGATTTCCTTCCTTTCCATTTGACCATCTCTTGATCTCAGGATCCAGGAATTCAGACAGCCTCTGAAATACATAAACACCAATACTATGAATAAACGCAGATACAGTGAGACTGTTCTCTGTATGTAAATGCCTTACATGTTTCTCTGCTTGCTCTCTTTGAGCTAGCAGGTCCCGCATGTTCTTCTCAGCAAGCGCTTTTGTCTGAAAATAGGGAATGTGCACGTCACCAAACTACTGACAAACGTAAGGCAAAAAACTGAAATAAAATCCAGAAAGGAGTATCAGCTATACCACACGCTCAGCTGTGCGTTGATGCCTCTCTAATCTTGCTTTATGTCTTAAAGCGGACTCAACCTCAACTAGTGCTGCCAACAAATATCAAAGAGCAGAAAATTAGAGTAGTAACAACCAAATATATTTTTACAAAATGCATGCAAGGCTTCCTCGGAAAACATGATTTACAATAAAGTCTTGAATATAATAAGTACCTCTGTTGCCGGAATCTGGGTTTCGAATGAAATTACCAGAAGTTGCCCTCTGAAATTGTGACTCCTGTCGAATATCCTGTATCCAGAATCAAGATTTATATCTAGTCAGTGATTTCTCTAAAAAGGGGAAACAAAAAGAAAACAAGGTTGCATAGTAGAGTCTGAATTTCAAACTGCATCACACAATGGACCATACCAACGAAATACACCTACCTGATTGGTGGACTTAAAACTCTCCTTGAAAGAGGATTTGTATCGTTCCCTCCGTTCTCTTGCCTCTGCGAGAGCCTTCTCAGCCTTCGCCTTTTCTATTGCCCGCTCCCGAGCTTCAGCAGTTGCTCGCTCAACTGCCGCACGTTCTGCTTTTATCCTAGCTTCTCTAGTAGCCCTTTGAGCAGCGGCTTCAACACTCACTCTCTCTTCTTTCTCTCGGGCCTCTGCAGATGCCCGTTGCCGTGCAGCAGTAATTCTTTCCAAAGCCATCTTTTCTGCCTTTTCACGAGCTTCGGCAAATGCTCTCTCGTGTGCTTCTCTTGTCGCTCTTTCAACAGCAAGTCTATCCTTTTTACGCTCCCTCTCCCTTTCTGCCTCTTCCAATTTTCTTCTTTCCTTCTCTTCAGCAAGTTCCCTGTCTTTCTCCAATTTCCTTCTTTCCTTCTCTTCGGCAAGTTCTTTTTCTTTCTCCAATTTCGTTCTTTCCTTCTCTTCGGCAAGTTCTCTTTCTTTCTCCAATTTCCTTCTTTCCTTCTCCTCAGCAAGTTCTCTTTCTTTCTCCAATCTCCTTTCGTTTTCTTTTTTCTCTTGTACTCTTTGAGAAGACCCTTTGTCCTTCTCACATGCACTATCTGCTGTCGTCATGTTCTCCCTCTCTTTGGTCTTCTGAACTCCATGTACCTCTTTTTTCCACGTCCCAGTAGGAACTGATGTGGGAGCTTCAGCAGATTTAGTTACACCACACGTCGTCTCCAAGGGAGATGGTACATGCTCTGCCTTTGATATCCTTGCTGTAGTGTCTTTTTCTTCCATTATGCTTGCCTTCTTATGATCTTCACATGTAGACCTTTCTGTTGGTAATTCTCTTTCTCCTCTGTTGGAAACCTCTCCGGTGCTATCACTTGTAGCTTTGATGACAACTTCATCGCCTGAAAGGGATTCAGATCCAACTTCATCACAAGTTGTATCACGCTTTGCATCTACATCATTTTTTCCCCTGTTGGTGCTTTCAGATGAATTTTGGTCCAGGTTACAGTGAGCAGATCCTTCTTCAGTACCTGTGCACTCACTATTTTCTAATGCGGTTTCATCTGCTTCTTTGCCATTAATATCAGAGATAAATGCATCCATTCCTTCTTCCATGTTCTCCTCTTCACCATGCCCTAATGACCCATGCATTCCTTGATCCAGTTCTCTTTTGATCAACTTGCTAGCTACCTCAAATACATTCAGCATGTTTGATTCTTCTGGGTCTGCAAAGTTATCATTTTGTAGAATATCATCATTTGCATCTTTAGGACAATCAGCGTCCAGATCCACAATTGTTACTTCAGGGTGTGCACATGGACCAACTTTCTTCTCAATTTCGAATTTCTGTACTTTTTCAGAGACTAAATTTATCTTGGCTCCTTTGTTATGGAAGTGTGATGGCAGCAAGAGCGATCCATCAATAAAGCTGAATTTTTCTCTTCCATAACTTTCAGCTTCCTGCTCAATTCTATTAGGTCCCCTCATGAAAGCATCACATACATCAGATTCTTTAAGTTCTTCTAAAATCAATGATTTAATGTTACTTCCCTGGGAAATAGCAACATTAGATACACCTGAGGATTCCTGTAACTTTTCATTACTCCGAGAACTGTGTTGCATCCCGCTATTGCAAGATACTTCTGGTGCCAGTTTACTGTTTGTGTCCTCTTGTGATGTTCCTGCTAATGGACTTAAATTTGGACTAATATTACCATGGTCTCTAAGATCACTGGCATTTACTGATGAGCAAGCCTCTGGTAATGAACCTGAGACATCCTTGAAGACATCCAGCTTTGTGGAGGCTCCACTTGTAGGAAGCTCAATACATTTATCAGTATCATGGCTTTCCTCAGCATTTTCCAGTGTTACAAGTCCCTCACCAATTGAATTATGAGTCTCTTGGTGTGCCATATTTTCTGTAGAAGGTTCTAAAATCACAGACACCCTATCTTTGTCCACTGGAGCCGTCTTGTTCTCCCCCAGATTTACATGTTTCACCCCCACATTCCTGCCATCATTAACCTCCCATAGTTTTTCATACCTGTCCAAGTCAGAGTCTGCTGCATTGAATTCAGTTTCCCTCTGATCATTGATGACACTAGTAATGGGATCCGTTTGCTTGCATTTATCACCTCCCTCTGTGACTTCATCAGTTTTGCATTTCTGATCATCTCCGGATAGCTCAAAAAAGTCATTACCTGACTTCCAGTTGCCTAGTTTCTCTAGTTCACTGGAAGTTTGACAGGACTCAGTGCAGTGTTGCAACATGTGCTGAGGCTTCTCCAATGGAAGTACCCTTTTCCCATTGTCATCGAAATGATCAAATCTGACTGCACTTAACTTTTTATGCTTGTCAAACAAAGAATCATCAGGGTTCTTTTCTTCTTTCGATGACTTTTTCACCGATAGTTTTTGTTCGGAAGTATCGACATCTACAGAAATAGGAGACTTGATTTCCATAGACCTTGTGCTTCTAAGATGACTTGGCTTCTTCCGCAATTTAAAACTGTCACCTTTTCCCTCTAACAATGCTTTTGCAGCCTTTAACCTAGCTTCAGCAAAATCCATTGCCTCCTTCATAGCTGCTGATGCAGAAGTTGGATTGCCATCAACTTTCTTGTCAGTGTGAGGCATGTTGCTACTTGAAGTGGTATGTGCAGCAGAAGTTGGAGAGCAATTGTGGTTTACAATATTGACGCGTCCTTTAGCTGCACTCTCTTTCTTGTTGAGCAGTTTAGGTTGCTGCCTCAATATTGGCTGTACTTTGATTGGTTGTGTCTGTGCATCACTGTCAGATACCCAAAGAAATGCATAATCAGGAGGTGTTACAGTACCGCGTGTTGAATGAATATCAGAGTTCTTGTGGTTTTCATTTGCTGATATACTTCCAGAAATAGGTGTCCACGATGGACTTTGTTGCTTCTGATCAACTGCAAAATCACTCTCAGGACTCCGCACACTCGTGTTAGCAGAGTTTGGGTTCTTATTATCATCATCATTGGCCATTGTGCCATTGTCAATTCTCGAAACATGATTGATTGCTGTATCATGTGACAAATTGCGAGAATCAATCACAAAGTCCAACGAAGGTTTAGCTGTGCAGGTCGTCATCTCAATTAGATCATCGGGTCTCCTCTCAGTAGTTTTGTTATATGACACCACAAACTGCGGACTTTCTGTGTCTGGAGAGAAGGATATTGGAGAAAACTTATGGTCTTTAAAGTGCTGGCGATGATCCAGATTTTGATAGTGTTGATGAAGTATAGAAGGCTCGTCCTCCAGCTGGCAGGATTCTTTTTTAAACGATGATCTGTTAATACAAAAAGTTGGCGGTAAACCATGTGACAGATAGGAAGCACAGATACACTTTTAACTACCAAAGCAGATTACAGGGGGACAAACATGGATAAAAAAGTAGAACAATCATGTTACACTAAACATGTTGCTGAATTACAGAATGCAGATTGAAAAATCAAACTTGATTGTTTTTGCTGGAATCACATTTTGCTGCATGTTATTTTCACTGAGATGCACTTCATATATAAGACAATAAACGCAAATATTTTATGGTAATTACTGGCAGTAGATATTACAAATATAGCATATAGACATCACTCATTACCTTTATCAGCATCCTGTCAAAATGGATGCTGCAGCATACAACACTACAAGATATACATACGTTACAACCCCCAACCCCACCAAGTAACGCCTCTACTCAACCTAAAAGGGGAAAAAAAAAGCAAAGGAAATTGACCCGATTCCCATCTCCTATCTCACCTCCCGTGGTGGTTTACTCGTTTTCATTATCCTTGCAATGCCCATGGACAGCTAGCCTCACCAGCTTATCAGATGTAGCTTGTTGGCCAGCAAGGTCATAGTGCGCCCATCCATGTTTAATGCATCCATTCCCTAGCAATATAACACATCAACCGGACATGCTAAAGTGTGGTTTGACCACTCTTGCACTGACCTGGCTGATTTACCCAACTACCACATCCTCTTCAGTTCCACATGTTCCTATTGTTGTGTAGCACTAGCTTCTTCCTCAGGAGGAAGCAGGGACTTCTAGTTCCTTGGTTCTACTACAATCACTGGTGGATCTTTCACCAAATAATGGAGGAGCACCAACTCATTTGGCGCTATAAGGTGTGGTGGGCCCATGATTAAAAATCATCGCCAATGGTTACATGGAATCTATTAGGGAAGATTGGTTACAACTGAATGAGACAGGGAAACTGCTCACATGGGCGAAAAACACAAATCAAGGGATGTCCATTTCTGTGCGTACCACTAACCATAGAAGAACATACAATATACATGCTGTAATCTCCTGGTGGAGATCCTCATACGGTCTGCAGACATTACAAGCACAGTCTATTTCCATGGAGTTCAAACAAAGTTGAACTTTCAAGAAGAGTAGGAATGTAGGATAGGATGAATTGATAATAAGTTTTCCACAGTTGCCGTGGACGAAATTCATAGGATTGGTACGAATTTCGTCAAGCAAGCTTGGTATAGATAAATAATCTTCAATGCTTCTTAAAATCAAGTATAAGGTTGACTTTGGTTGGTGGATAGATAGATAGATAGAAGGTCGCAAACGACGAGTCCTTAACAGAAACCCCCAAATGCCACAGAAGAACAAAAAGAAAGGTGCAAATGACAACACCACCTGATGGCACCATTTCACGCCAAGCCGAATAATGAGCGAGCAGAAAAGGCTCTGCTTTCCCCTCAAAGAAGGAAGACACCTTTACGAACTAGAAAATGCAAAACTGTCCAGAAACGCTTAATGCTGCATAAGCAGCTTCTCCAACACAAACAACACTCTGGACGGAGAGCAAAGCGGTGTAAAAAAGGAGGATCGGACGGAAGAGGCACCTTTTCGACGAGAAGAACGGAAGATGTGCAAGGTAAAAAGCCCGCAAATCCCCACCCCCAATCTACCCACCAGCAGACTACGACGTGACACGGTCGCATTTCCGAATGGAGAAAGCAAATCGTGAACCCCACTCAAGGCCGTCTTTCAAATCCACGTCTGCAAACGAAGAACGCCCAAACCGGGGAAGCAGCAAAGGCCGCGCGCACTGTTCGCCCAGCCGGAAACACACACACAGGCAAGCGATGAATGTCGGAGTGGGTCAGAGGGAGGGAGCGCGTGCAGCACAGCACAGACCTGGTGGAGCTCCCGCTGGACGAGGCGACCTCCGGGTCCGTATCCCTGGCAGCCTCGGGCTCGGGCTCGGGCTCGGGCTGCGGCGCGCCGAAGAGGTCCTCGTACGGCAGCGCGAAGTCGGCGAAGTCGAAGCGGCCGAAGATCTCCCCGTAGTCCCCCTTCCCGCGGCATGCGAAGAAGCCGCCGGCGCCGGCGCCGGAGGCGGGCGCGGGCGGCAGGTCGAGGTACGGGATGGAGCAGGTCGCGGCGACGCCGCCGAACACCTCGGCGTAGTCCAGCGGCGCGCCCCCGAACGGCGCCGCGAAGCGCGGCGGCCCGCCGAAAACGTCCCCGTACGCCGCCCGTGCCGCCGCCGCTCCTCCTCCTCCGCCACCAACGCCCGCCGCTCCCGCCGCCGCGGCTGCCTTCCGGTGGTGCCTCCTCTCCCTCCGCGCCGCCTCCATGGCCGCCACGCGCGAGCGCGCTAGGGTTTTCTCACCGCCCCGCCCCCTAGACCCTCGCCCACCCTCCGTGCACAGGGGTTTGGGGGAGGGAAGGATGGGAGGAGAGGAATGGAGAGGGAGGCGAGCGCTGCGCGAGGTCAGAGTGGGAGGAGACGAAGCGCGGGGGGGAGCAGGCAGGCGGGCACGGCTTTACTCGGGAGTCGCGGTGTTTGGGACGGTGTCCGTCCGTGTTTTGCCACTAAAAAAACCGCCGCGCCTGTGTCGCCTGGCAAATGGCAATCAGCATGGGCGCCGCGGTGTGGAGCGGGAGCGGGAGCGCAGAGGGCTGCTGCGGCGGGATATTTAACTTTTTACCATAACAGATGTCAACTTCTCGTATAAAGCTCTTAAAATTGTTCCTATATATTTACCATCTAGAGAAAAGAATTCATAACTTTAAGCTATTTTTACATACGTGACAGGACATGTAGGGAAGCCAGCGTGTCTGTGGGTGTGAAATGACTTTGTTACCCATCATCTATTTCTTCTTCGTCCATCTCATCCTCCCGCTTGAGCTCTGACCATGGTCGGCAATGGTAAAGATGCATCCCGACCTACGCGCCTCTCAGCTCCGCCTCCCTGCTAGAGCACGCCGACGCCTATGCGCCTCTCATGCTAACCCTCCATGGAGGTCTCCACCATCAGCTTCTCGTCCCCGTCACCCCCGTCCCTATCCCCTTCCCTGCCGTCGCCGCCGCAGCAGCCGCCGCGGGCCATGCCGCGCGGACCTTGAGGCCGTGGACCTCGAAGCAGCAGCAGCGTGTCGTGGGCGCCGTGACCCGGAGCGCCATCCCACTGCTTGGGGTCGAGACCACGCGGACCTCTGCCGTGCGGCATCCAGCGCCGCCGCCGGCTGCAACACCCCCCGAGCGGGCCCCGTTGGTCGGCGCACTCGCGGGTGGACGACGCCGCCGAGGGCAGCGCGGGAGCGGCCATGCGGGACGAGTCATTCTCGGCCTGCCTGCAGTTGCTCCGATCTGAGGGGCTGCGGGGGCAGGAGGTGCTCGACGCTGTGGGCCGCGCCATGGCCGTCGCCAGCTTCGCCCGCCGCTTCCTCGCAGGCTTCAAGGCGCTCTTCATCTGCAGCGCCGCCGAGATGCTCGAGCGCCTAGCGGGGCCTGGCAGCGACCTCGACATGTTCGTCAGGGTCCTCAGTCTGGCCGCCACCCGGACCACCGCCATGGAGGACGACATGGACGTTGACCGGGCCATCGCCACGGAGGACTACATGGACGTCGACGGGCGCCCGAAACCCGGTGCTCGCCACCGGAAGGACGTGAGTGGCCGAAGCTACGCGTCCGCGGGCTCCGTCGCGGCCCTCCTCCCCTCGCCTGGCGCCAAGAGGAAGCGTGCGTGCGGCGGAGGTGAGGTCGACACGGTGCAGCCGCAGAAAAGCGGCGGCTCCTGGCGTGGACGCGGTCGCACCAGCGGCTCCGGTCAGGCTTCGGCAGGGTCTCCTCCGCACCTCGTAAGCCGCCGCAGCCGGCGTTGCCTCGCTCATGTCCTGCCCAAACGGTGGCATTGGTGTATTCTAGGTTTCGACGCCGCATCGGAAGGCCACCCGAGGAGGGAAGGGTGGCGGTTTTCAGTGGGGGTGCAGGCGGTGGAGGCGACCTCAGTGGTGGAGCTGGAGGCAGCTTAGGCGGAGGAGGAGGACTTGGTGGCAGTGAAGGAGGTGGTTATGGTGGTGGTGCCGGCGGAGGTGCTGGTGGAGGCGGCGGCCTTGGGGGTGGTTCCGGTGGAGGTCTCGGCGTGGTGAAGGCGGAGGAGGCGGGCTTGGTGGCGGTGCTGGTGGAGGTGGTGGTCTTGGTGGCAGAGGAGGAGCCGGCATATTCGTCGCCGGCGTCGGGCGCGGCCATGGACCTACAGGCCGTGGCCCGGGCTGTCTCGCCCCCAACTTCCCCTATGTCCTGTCAGCCGTCTCCATGGACCCATCGTCGACCATGGCCGGAGCTCGAGCGAGAAAGAGATAGAGATAGAAGAAATAGATGAGAGGCAAAAATATCATTTCCCGTGGGCGGTCTATGCTGTCAGATCGAGTTGGCGTGCCACGTCAGTGAAAATGGCAAGAATGTATCAAATGCTCTCTCTCTCTCGATGACAAATATATAGGAGCAATTCTAAGAGTGCTATCTGAAGAAATGACATCCGTTATAATGGTAAAAAGTTAAATATCCTGCTGCTACGGCCGTGTTGGCGTGGGCTGTTTTCGTGTTGCGGCCGCGCGGAAAAGCGTTCTCTCGCTGGAGCGGATAGTGGAATGGAATGGATGGGCTGGCGGGGGATGACCGTCCGTCCGTCCGTCCGACCGTCCCGTCCCAGGAGGGGGCACGTCGGAACCGCGTCGGCACGGGTCCATGTCGCTTGCTGCCTGATGCCAGCTACGGCCTCCGGGCGTTGGGGTGTTGCAAGACGGCGGCGGCTTTGTGGTTTTCACCGTGGCGACGCTTTGGCTTTGGGTTGGGTTGCGGCAGCGATGATGGTGGGATCAATCATCCTTGGCACGCTTATAGGTACTCCCTACATCCCTAAAAGAGGGTCGTTCTGAGATTTTGAAGGAGTACCAAGAAAACCATGATTGCTCTACCTTCACGTCGTTCAAGCTCTCTCACTCAGGCAATGTCTCTACCGATGAGTGGTGAGACAAGTAGCTGAACCATGGCAGTGGTAGGTGTACGGCCCACAAGACAGCATCAAACAACACTCTATAAGGGACAGTTTTTGAAAGCTAAAACGACTTTATTTTTGGTACAAAGGGAGTAGGTTTTGTGCAGGGGCACTCATTTGTGTTTTCGACCTAGCACAAAGTACTAGTACCAGCATGCTAGATAGATCGAGTGAACCAAATATGACGTTAGACAGGGTAAAATGTCATTTTTTATCTTGAAATGTATGTTAAGACAACATAGATGTACCAATTGTCATGGCAAATTTGGTAAAATGTTAGGCAATATTATACTGGTAGCTACCATTCTGCTCTGGGCCATATAAGGGTGCACATACGTACGTGCATGCGATCTCATCTGTGCCATGCAGATCGCCGCCTCCACCGTCCGATTTGCCATGGACGAACGACAAATGCCTCTCGACTGCACTCGAGACGTGATAAATAGATATACGTTATCCTAACACGATGCTTTACGTGGCCGAGTCGAATGATGTTAACGTGTTAACATGATGTGTGGTTTTTTTGTCTGCCGAGCTGTACCTTTTCTTTTTCCTCAAGATTTTTCTTTAACGGATCTCATAACAGCTAAGATTAGATCATATTCTTTTTGTCTCCGAATATTCGACAACATTTGACTCATTGGGTGAACACATTTCAAACAACTTACTTCCCCATCCGGGGAAAAAATCTAATTACGACCGAATGCCAAGTAAAATTATTTTGAGATAGGCTAAATTTATAACAAAAATATCAATATCTATAATAAATCAGATTTGGTATTAAATATATTTTTATAATATACTTTATCCTATAGATATATTGATATTTTTTGAAGAGAAAGATAGATAGACTTCATCTTATAGATATATTGATAAAAAAAAGATAGGTGTAGATATACCGCCTTAAACAGTTTGAGTATCGACGGAACAAACAAGAATCATTTGCCTGTTCGCTTGCTCGTATACGATCGTAGATTATAAGCTGGGAACAGTATTTTTCTCTTACAACAAATCAGTCAGCGGTAAATATCTTTTGGGAAGGGGCCAGTGCCATGAAAAAAATAGAGAAGCATTGCTGACTTGCTGTGGTATCTAATGACCTATCTAGCCGCTTGAACCTACTACTGGATAGGCAGGCCATGTTCTCTCCAGCTCCTCCTCCTAAGGACTGCTCCTACTACGTGCGATTGGCAGAGTCGTAAAGTTGGTCAACCACGGACCACGGTCCTTGCACTGCATTACGCCCGGAGCGCAGGACATGTCCCAATTTTTCGGTTTTTTAACTCTTTTTTAAAAAAATTTCACAAATATATCTACAGAGGTATGATTTTAAAATCTGGACCCTTACCTCGGCGTTATCGTTGGTGGCGCTGAGCTTACACGTCTCGGCGCCATAGATTTTGGCGTCTAGGTCTTGGGCTCGACGCAGACGTGGCGGTGACTTGACAGGCACATTGACGCCGTAGATCTTGACGTCGTATATCTTGACGCCGAGCTTGTCGCCGTGGTTATTGGCGCCAAACCCTGTCTTACGTATGGGCCCTCCCTTCCTTTCTCTCTTCCTCTCTCTCTACCGCTCCCGAGTCAGGGCGCCGCCAGCGCTACCGCACCGCCGCGCCCGCTGCCGCGCGTAGCGCCGGGCGCCGGGGCCCCAACCTGCTCGCGTCGCCTCGCCGCGCGGAGCGCTGGCTGTCCCGCGCCCGCCTCGCGCCGCCCCTCTGTAAGGTCCTAATGGCTAGAGGGGGGCGAATAGTCTATTAAAAATTTCTACAACAACACTAAGACAAATGATTAGTCAATAAGATGACGAAACGAATTTTGCGCTAGCACTATACTTGGGGTTACAAGCCACCTACCTAATTCTATTTTATATGATCTCTAGTATATCACACCAAAGCTATATCACTAATATACACCTAGGTGATCAACCTAGTGAGAGTAATACAATTAAATGATACACTATCTAGTCTTAACTACCACTAGCTCTATCCAAGTGAATGTATAATGAAATACAAGAGAGTGGTAGAGAGGTATACCGATGAGTGAATACCAATAAATACCAAGGAGACAATCAAGACACAATGATTTTTTCTCTGATGTTTACTTGCTTGCCGGCAAGCTAGTCTCCGTTGTGGCGATTCACTCACTTGGAGGTTCACGCGCTAATTGGCATCACACGCCAAACCCACAATAGGGTGTCGCACAACCAACACAAGGATCACACAAGCCACGGGCAATTTACTAGAGTACCTTTTGGCTCTCCGCTGGAAAAAGGTCAAGAACCCCTCACAATC